TGATAGTCGATTATCTGGAAAGGATAATCGATTATTGATCCCTGCAGGTGTTTCCAATGGGATTGATAATCGATTGTGGGGAATGATAACCGATTATTTGGCAGAATTCTGGGCAGGAAGAAGGGTGTTTTTGTGGGGGAATGGACTGAAAATATATGGAGTTGATGAGGGAGTTCTTTTGGGTATTTTAATTGGAAGAAAAGAGTGAGATTAAGAGGAGAAATGGGGGGATATGAAATGGAAGAAAATCAGGGATGGATAAACCAAGTTGGTGTTTAAGAGATATTACACACTCTTATCCTAACTTGGGGTTTGAATCTAGAATTTAATTAAGATATGACACACTTAATTAAATATCTAGAACCTAAAACTCACACTTAAGATAACCACTCTTAAGATATAGAATTAGGAATTTGGATAAAATAGCATCACACTATTTTAAATAATACTCAAAGAGTAAAAGATTTTCAATATTCAGGGATTTTTTTCTACAATGACCATAGGGCCTGATTTATATATAGGCAGGGGAAGGGGGAAGAAATACACAATACATTGAATGTAGACATAAGGAAACTTCCTATCTTATTCTCCTAAATCAATAACATGACCTCCACTTGTTGTTGTCCCTTTGGTGGGGAGAAAAATCAGGGATAGGTTGTACTTGTAGGGCAGGATTTTTTGGCCATTAGTGGCGGGAGGGAATATGTGAATATAATGCTCAAGGAAATGAGACTTTGTGTATCAACACGTAGACCCTTGCCATGATTCAACCATTGAATCGTATATGGTTTCGGGTGTGGTGACGTCTTCAAATGCAGCTTGTCTACCATGGTTTTGGAAGCCACATTGGTGCAACTGCCACTATCGATGATGAGGGAACACACCTTCTTTTGGACAGTGCAACGGGTGTGGAATATGTTTTCCCGTTGTAGTTGTTCCTCGGGGCATGCTAGAGTGCTCAACGTTCTTTGGATGACCAAGAGTTCTCCATCATCGGGACCTACGTACTCGTCTTGT